TGGGCCTGGCCTCGTCTCCGACAGTCGGGAAGACAGGTATTGGGTTGGGAGGACAGACCTCCTACCCTGACACGTCGATTAGTGAATTGTCCGTTTTCGGTTCTCCAGAGGGCGCCGCGGCCGTCATTTTCCAGGCTTGCGCACGCCAGGTTTGGGCCCGACGTCGTTTTCGCTAAACCACATTGTACTACAGATGGGTCTGTCCATCCCCGAAGTATTGGGTTGGGAGGGTGGTGTTGGGAGACATGTGGAAGACGTTGCCCGTAGGTTGCCGAAGGCATCGTTCAATGCGCGCGGATGCTACTGCGCATGCCCCTCATCCTCCCAACCCTCTCCTCCCAACACGATCGTTGCGGGGGTGGACAGACCTCCTACGCTGACACGTCGATTGAGGAATTGGCCGTTTTCGGCTCGCGAGGGGGGCGTCGCGGCCGTCATTTTTGCGGGTCCAGGTCCGTCGATTTCGGTCTTGGGCCGTTTTCACTAAAGGGGGGTCTGCTAAAGGGAGGTTGGTCCACCGCCGATGGTTGTTCTCCTCAAATAGGGAGGTTTTATCCTCACTGGATGTGATCCTCTCCCTGGCTTCGTCCTGCCTCGTCTCCACAAGGGAGGGGGCGGATGTTATCCTCTCCCTGGCTTCGTCCTGCCTCGTCTCCACAAGGGAGGGGGGGGGGCGCCCGGCTCCCGCTCGAGGGAGGGCGGGCCCCCCCCTGGCTCACGATGCGAGGGGCCGGCGGTCAGCCTCGGAGAGCCGAGTCGGAAGGCTCGAAGCAAAACGCCATCAACATACAGTTCAGTCGGGCGTGTCCCCCTACAGGGGGATTTGCGACAAAGAACATAAGATATTAAAAACATGTTCCAAAATGGTAAAAAATGCAAAAACAAAACCTTCCCAGACTTGTTCTGGACTATTTTTGAATTTCCCCCTTGTAGAGGGACAGGCCCGACTTAAACATACAGTCAACCCGCATGGTAAGGACGAGAGGCTGAGCGACCCTTGCATCCTTGTCCCGTCGGCCCATCCTTGGTAACTTTCGCCGGCCAACCTCGCTGGACAGACGTTGGCATGGCCCTCCAAGGCCCTGGCATCCTTACCGTGCATCCTTACTGTGCGGTTCCACTGTAGAATAAGCGTACAACATCGAGGAGTGGCATCATCAAGAGAATGTCGTTTGGAGGTTCGAGGCTCAAGCCGCTCTGGGCCTCCTGAGCGCCCCTCGCCGCCACGCCCGGGTGCAGCTCCAGCAACTCGGGAGGGAAAGAGAGCGTCAGCGACCCGCCGCACGTCGGCGGGCCGCTCCTTCGTTTCTGCCCTGAGGCCTGGTGCCCTCACGTTCGCCACGCCGTCCTCGTCATCGACTCCTCGTTGTCCTCGCCTTCCTTTTCTTCTTCGCCCAACACGCCCATTAGACTACAGCGGCGCTTCCCGTTCTTGTCCGATCAGGTCTGCTCTAAGGCCTGGCACCTTCTCAAGTGCAACACGCTGGCGGATCCCCCACGCATGGCGGCCTGTCGTCGATGCTGCTGTTGCTTCCCTGGAACTGGCGAGGGTGGATCCCGTTCGGGGATCGCCGTGGGGAAAACGGGGTCCTGGAGGTTGCTCGCCTTTTTCGACCTCCTGGTGCCCATCAGGGCCTTGGCACTGTCGAAAACGATTGCAGGGTGAGCAAACGGTTCCAGTGAAAGCTTCGGGATCCAGGACCTGGTTCCTTCAGGACCCCTCTGGCCTCTTCTGAGGAGCCCCCTTTGCTTTCTCAGAAAGCCACTCCTCTCGCCCTGCGGACACCATGCAGCGAACGGTCAGAACGAATCGCGATGGTCCACTAACATCGCCACCTATCCGACCCCACTTTCTGCGCGTAGTCCCTCAGAAGTGGTAGATGAGCTGAAGCGCACGTGCACGCTCAATATTCTGTTGACAAGCTCGGGCACGGATGAATCCAAGTACGTCGTTTTCGGCCGTGCGTTCACGGGGTTGCGCTTTCGGAGTGACATGTGCAGTTCTAGTGAGATTTTCCTATCTCAAGTCCTTTCGGTCAATTTCCGAGCCCTCGAGCTGTGTCTGCCCGGTGATCCCGAAGCCATGTCGGGTATGTACGTCTTGGGCGGCATCGTCGCCGTGCTCGTATTCCTGATCCTGCGGAACAACCTGAGGCACAAGCGCGATGGCACCTCGGCGGGCTTCCTCCGCTCTTTGTCGCCTTGGGAGGAAGCAAGGGTGCCCAGAAATGCATCGAAGAAGAAAAATCGTGTTGGCGCTCCGCGCGGATTTCTTGGATCTGCGTTGTGGCCCCCTGGCGGCGCCTCTGGCGCGCTCCGCGAGCCAGTGAGGGGGCTCCAGCGCAGATCCAAGAAAACCGCGCGGACCGTCGAAAGTTAATGTTTATGTCTTTTTTCTTCCTCCAATACAGGCTCACATTTATTTGCATGTCCGGTATACGTTTGGAGGGTGCTTGGGTGTGTGTCTTGTTGTGTGGAGGAAGCCACCAGCATGAATCAGCAAACTTGGCTTCCCTCTGTTGATCGGAAGGAGCGCGTTCTGTTCTCGCTTGAGGAGGGGGGAGGTTGAAAAACCAGCCCCCCGTCCACCCCACATTATCCTGGACGTCTGGAAGCCGAGGGGGACCCTTCCCTCGCCCCCCGCCCAGAACAGTGGAGGGGTCCAATCTCCCTTTCACGCGTAAGAGGGGGAGGGATGTTCAACACAACACCCCCGCCGCTGATGCAGGGGGTGGTCCAACCAAACACCATCCCTGGAGCCGGCAAAGGACGACGGCGACCAGGACCACGATCACGACCATGGCCACGACCACAGCGACGACTACAACCACGATGACGACGACGTCGCCGCCTCACCAACGATTGCAGTCCACATTTCAGTCCCGCCCGCCCGCCCACGTTAATGTCCCACCCATTGTCGCCGTCGTCGTCACCTTCGCTTTCGTTTGTCGTTCCTGTGCTAAGTTTCCCCCAGCCTTGCCACAGCAACAAAGGAAAATCTACACTTAATGGCCCGCCCGCCCGCTCTCCCCGCCCGCCCTCCCCTCGTCGTCGTCGTCGTCGTCGCCGCCGTCGTCGTCGTCGTCGTCGTCGCCTTCGTCGTCGGCGTCGTCGTCGTCTTCGTCGTCGTCGTCGGTTCCGTCACCGTGTTGTTTTGTTGTTTCCATGTTTTCTCCCCCAACGTTGCCCCGCTAGCGGGCAAACAATTCCGACGAGTAGTCTGCATTGGGACGGGTCGTGATTCCGACCTTGTCTTCGTCCGCGCGGTAGGGAGGAGGAGGAGGAGGAGGCGGAGGAGGAGGAAGAGGAGGAGGAGGAGGCGGAGCCTCCTAGGGGCCTCCTGGGGCTTCATGACATTTTCTTAGGGGTCTCGTAGGGCATCCTGGGCCGTCTTAGGGGATTCTTAGCCCACCTGACAATCCGCCTTGGGGCCCATCTAGGCCGTGCTGGTGCCCTCTTGGAGCGGTTCACGGCCGTCTTGTGGTTTTCTTGGGAGCCTTTTGGGCGATCATTGGGCCCCTTTGGGTCGACTCGAGGCCATCTCGTGAGTCTCTTGGGCTGCCTTGGACCTGTCTTGGAGGCCTCTTGGAGGCTCTTTGGGCTGTCGTGGGCGATCGGAATCCCGTTTAGGCGAGAACCGTAAACTCCTTCAAACATAAACCACTGGAGCAGCAATGGGTTTGGCCCCCTCGGGCTCTCTGGGACCCTCTTGAGCCGTCTTGGGCCAGCTTGGTGTCATCTTGGCTGCCTTGAACGCCGTCCTGTAGGCCATCAGGCTCCCAAGAAGACTTCAAGGCAGATCAAGAGGCTCAAGAGGCCCCCACGACGGCCCAAGAGGTCTCCAGGAGGCCCTCCATAGGAGAGCCCGAGGAGGCCAAGACCATGATATTCAATAGATTTGAAGGGCTCTGAGGTTCTGGAATGTTTGGGTGGGCTTCCGACCGCCCAAGACAGCCCAATAGGTCTTCTGGGCCGTCTTGTCGCTCTCTTGGAGCGCTTCAAGGTCGCATTAGGGCCTTTGGGGAGCCCATTGGGCGATCTTTGGGTCTCCTGCGGCCGACTTGCAGCCCTCTTGGGGGCCCCTTTGGGCTGCCTTGAAGTCTTCCTGGAGGCCTCGTGGAGGCCCCTTGGGCCGTCTTTGGCGCTCGGAAACCCGAACCGGCGAGAGCCTCAAGGTCCTGTTTGCAACAACCGTCGGAAAATCAATGATGTTTGCCCTTCGGGCTCTCCAGGAAGGCCTCTTGGAGCTTCTTGGGCCGTCTTAAGGGCCTCTTGAAGTCCTCGTGGGCCGTCTTGAGAGCCTCTTGAGCCGTCCTGGTCCATCTTGAGCAGTTTTGGTGTCGTCATGGTTGTCTTGGAAGCCGTCTTGGAGGCCACCTTGGCCGTCTGGAGGCCGAACAGAGCGCCAGGAAGCAACTTCAGGGGAGGCGATTTGTGAACCCTGGTCGTGATGCAGGGCGGGGGCGAGCCTAGAATACAGAAAAACACTCCCAGCGGGAACCACAGGAACGTTATAGCATGTCCACTCCGTGCATGCACGGTGGCGTATTGAAGTTTACTTTAATGGCCCACCCGCCCGCTTGAGTGTCCCGTCCGTCGTCGTCATCGTCTTCCTTCGTTCTCACTTCCTGTATTTCCTCTGGTCATGTCCCGACCGACCCGCCCGCCTTGCTTTCAATCCCGCCCGCCCGTCCCGCCCGCCAGCTTTGATGTACCGCCCGTGTCGGCGATCGTCGTCGTCGTCGATCGTCGTCGTTCGTCGTCGTCGTTTGCTGGCGAGGGTTGTGGGGAAGGGGGTGCCTTGTAAAGGCGGTGGGGGCGGGTTCTGGTCGGGCGGGTGTTTGTGATTTTTCCGGGGGAGCCCTGCCGGTTTTCGATGTGTCGGGGGATGTTTCGCGCCCAATCGCCAGCGAAACGCGCTCTCTCATTGATGGTGTCTTCCTGTCCGCCTCCGCTCTCAGGAAGGGAAGGAGATCAAGGCGTCGGTGAAGCAGCAGTTCATGTTCTGGGGAGGCTCCCTCCCCCTCCTCCCATCCTTTTGGTTGCAACTCTTGGGAGGTCGACTTCGCCGTTGGCGCTGGTGTATCCGTGGTCGAAATCAGGCGAACTCTGCTGCAGCCTGGCTTACTCCCCTTGGGCACCGGCTACTTTCGTTTTCCTTACTTAAGCAGCGAGTGATGTAAGTGGCCTCGGGTCTTGTTAGGGAGGCGGTGCTATAGTGTAGGATGCGAAAATGGTGCCGGCCGTGGCCGTGCCGTGCCGTGTCCGCGCGGCTTGCCGTGCCGCGCCCGCGTGCCATGCCGTGCCTGTCTTCCAGGAAGCGCAGCATGCACCGCCCGTGGCCGTGGCTTCTGGAAGGCACAAAAGTGCCGCCCGCGTGCCGTGCCGTGCCGTGCCGTACTGGTGCCGTGCCGTGCCGCGCCGCGCCGAGCCCAGATTCGGGGATGCGAGGGGGTGGCTGCGCGCGTGCTGTGCCGTGCTCGTGTGTCGTGTGTCGTGTCGTGCCACCGCCGTGCCTCGCCAAGTGTCTGGGGTGCGGGGAGCCGTCGTCCGCGTGCCGGGCCGTGCCCGGCTTCCGCAGCGCGACCTGGTTGCCGCCCGCGCGCAGTGCCTGCCGTGCCCTGGCCGTGCCGTGTTCGTGCGCCGTGCCGTGCCGTGCCGTGCCGTGCCGTGCCGTGCGGCGCCTGGTTCTGGGCTGCGAACGGGTTGCCGTTCGCGTGCCGTGCGGTGCAGTGCTCACGCGTCGTGCCGTGCCCCTGCCGCGCCGCGGTGTGGAGTGCGAGGAAGTGGCCGCCCGCGTGCCGTGCCGTGCCGTGCCGTGCCGTGCTCGTGTGCCCTGTCGTGCCCGTGCAGCGTGTCGCTTTCACACGCGATGCGCCTCGTTGTTCTGCGTTGCTGTGTGGGGTCTCTGTGCCTGTGTAGCTATTGGAGGCGGCTTGATGTCCCCCTGCTAGAGCTTGTCAGTCCATACTCGTTCCCAGGATGACCTCCCACGAGTGGCCTCCTGACCTCCTCCTCCCTCTCCTTCTCCTTCTCCGACCTCTCAAATCATCGTGTCGTAAGCCATGCCTTGGCAAGGCGTGATGGCGGGCATCTCCTCCGCGGCGATCACCCACCAGCTTGACGTGATGAAGACCTGCCGGCAGGTCGGCATCCCGAACCCCGAGACCCTGAACGGTTCCCGCTCCTCGTTCTCCTTCCTCTCAGTTTTCTTCCTCGGGCGGGAGGCACTGTCCCATGTCCACTGGCTCGCGGTCGAGGCCTCCTCGGCCGCGACCCCACGGATGCCCCGTGCTGGACGTATCTGTGAGATCGCGTAACCGTAACCACGGGATCGCGCTTCGGAATCGAGACCGCGAGGGCATCAATGTGGGTGTGTTCGTCGCTCGTGATCTCTTTCGCCAGACCTCCACTCCCGATGTCGCCAACCATCGCAGCGACTTAATCCGTCTGGAGTTCTGCGTCCAAGCCTTGGGCTCGGGACCATCAGATCAGGACCCTCAGAAACGACCTACGGCGAACAACCGGTCTAGGTCTAGGCCCTCGCTCATTCTTCCCCTCGTCCTCGTCACTCTCAGGCTACCTGGTAGGCATTGTCATGGGCTCGATTGCCCAGGGTTCCCGCTTCGGCGTTACGCTGGTGTTGAACGCCACCCTCCAGAAGAAGCTCGACTCCTGGGAGAAGAACTTCAAGAAGGGCTCCTGCGCGCAGGTTGTCGTGGCCTTCCTCTTCAGCATGCTGGCGGGTGGAATCGGCGAGATGCTCACCAACCCGTTCGGGGTGATCAAGAACTACCAGATCGCCAACGGCGTCAGCATCCTGACCGCCGCCCAGGGCCTCTACGACCTCGGCGGCCTCGGCCGCTTCTTCAACGGCGTCGGCTTCGGCGTGTTCCGCAAGTCGGCCGCCAACGGCATCATGCTTCAGACCATCGGACACGTCAAGACCGCCCTGAAGAAGGCACCTCCCCCTTGTTCTCCTCTCGCAGTCCACCGTCCGCCGCTCTGCGGTTGATCGGTCGTTTCTGTGTGCTTGGCTGTGTGTGTGTGTGTGTGTTTGTCTGTGTGCGTTCGTGCGTGCGTGCGTGTGCGTGTGCGTGTGCGTGTGCGTGTGCGTGTGCGCGTGCGCGTGCGTGTGCGTGCGTGCGTGCGTGTATGTCTCTCCCCCTCTCTCTCCCACTCCTTCCTCCTGCTCCCTCCCTCCTTCCACCTCCACCCTTCTCACTCCTCTTCCACTCCTCCTCCTCCTCCTCCTCCTCCTCCTCCTCCTCCTCCTCCCCTTGCTTTGCTCGATAGCCTCGCTCCTCCCCGCAATCCCCCCCTGACTTCTCCATCCCTCCTCTTCCTCTGTGAAGAAGGCATCGCCCGACTTCCTCGCCAAGGACTCGGGCAAGGCCGCCCTCGGGTTTATCTCTGGCAGCCTGACGGGCGCCTTCGCGGAGGTGATGACGAACCACCCCGACCAGGCGAAGACTGTGACCGAAGCATCGATCGATTGAAACCACTAGACGCCATGGCACAATCACTGACATTCGGAGCTCCGCGCGGTTTTGGGGGGTCTGCGCTGCGACCCCCCTGGCGGCGCCTCCAGTGCCGCCCCTGGCCCGGGAGGGTCAGCGCAGATCCAAGAAATCCGGGCGGAGCTCCGAAAGCTCATGCTTATGAATTTCTTCGTCCTCCAATATCGGTCGGCTGAAATCAGGTTGGGGATGCCATGGTTGGCGTTTCGGGGATGGCGCCGACTTCGCTCCAGATCTCGGGTTCCGCGCCCTCGCCCCTGGGGACGACGCCGACGTCGAGAATTGTTGCCCGCGCGCAGGTGAAGACCATGACCCAGACCGGCGTCCCCATGATGGAGGCGCTGATCATCGCCACCAAGAACCCGTTCCGCGGTGCGCTCTGGGCCGGCATCCGCAAGGGCGCGATCCGCGGCATCAACTGGGGCTGCCTGGAGATCTTCATGGCCATGATCGAGGGCGGCTACAGAAAGTTCAGGAAGATGGCCGCAAGCACCGTCAAGACGGGCACACGCGTGTCCGAGTTCACCCGCGAGACCACGCCAATGTGAAGCGCTCCGGCGGGCAAGTCGCCCGATTTTGACCCATGGACGTTCGCACACTCAAGCGCACCCCCCCTTGTGCCTTCTCCCCTGCTCTCTTCCTCTCCTTCTCCCCCTGGTCTCCCCTCCCTCCCTCCTTCTCCCTCTACAAGAATGTCACCTCTCCTCGCTTTCCTGACTCTGTCTGGAAGATGTCCCGCTCTCCCCGCGTTTTTTTTGCACAGGATTTCAAACAGTGATGCTTCTTACGTCTTTGTGCAATTCGACTGCTTCCGGTGTCTCAAGATGGTGATCCCGCTGCAGCGTTGGTGTCATTTTCGGATCGGCGCTTGACCCCTGTCGTTCAGAATGTCGCTCTCGCCCCAGCGCGGGCCACTTATTTGGGATCCGAGTCCTTCCTCATTGATGCCGCCCCCTCTCTTCCCCTCCGGCTTCCCCTGGCCCTCCTGCTCATCCAGCTCCTTCTACTTCGGTTCCCGCTGTTGCTGTTCGTCCTCGCCCCAGGACTTTTACTTCGAGGAAATTAGAGTGATTCAAGCAGGCTTACGCCCTGAATACATTAGCATGGAATAATAAGATATGACCTCGGTTCTATTTTGTTGGTCACCTCCTTCTCCTATTCTCCCCCTGTGGAAGCAGCTCCCCTTTTCCGATCGCGCATGGCACGGCGGGGTCTTCTTGGGAGTCCCACGTCCGCTATGACATGCGTCCGCGGACAGAGAAGAAGTCAGCACAAAGGGAAGGGATGCGTGGAAGGGGTCGGATATCAGGTATGGCGCGAGAGCACCTAGCTTTTTGCATAATCGCTTCGCTCATTCCGCCTGCCCGTATTATGCCATCGTTTGCGGTTGGGTGATCGGGACGTAGCTGAACTATGCAGTTGTCTTCGGCGTATCCCGCCAGATTGGCCTCTGTAGGACCTCTGGGATCCGTAGCCATTTTGGCTCAAGTTCGAAACCTTGCCGCGAGGCTTCGAGCTTGTCCGCAGCCGTGCGGCAGGCTCGGACGGTTCTGGCGTGTGTGCTGCCCACCGAGCCGCACGGGCGCGCCATGGGATATCTCGTCTGTCTCGTCTGTCGCGATGCTGGCAAGACTTCGTGGATCCCCGACACCAACCCCCGCCAAAAGTGTAAGTTCTGCAGTACTCCTTTTCCTGGCCGCTCCAAAGGACAGGTCCCAGGAAAACACGGCCGCAAAGGCGACAAAGACGGCAAAGGCAGGAGCAAAGGCAGTGGCAGTGAGCGTGTCTTGTCTCCTCCCCGTTTCCATGATCGTCATGTTGTCGACGGTACTGCCACTCCCCCAGTTCGGTCTTTGGATGAACGTCTTCAGGCTCCATTGGATGAGGAAGTGCAGGATAGATTCGGGTATGACTCTGGCGACGACGGTCTTGGCAGCGATCGTGGTTTTTGGGCTGACTACGTCGACGACGACGTTGATGGCGGCTGTGTCGACACCAATGGCAATGAGCTCTCGGTTACGAAGATTGATCAGATTATCAAGGCCCTTTTGGGCCAGCTGGATTCCCTTCGCCTGCTCCCGCCGACCAGGTATGTTCGCGATCAGGTCTCGGGTCTCCAGGATGAGGTGCAGCATCTCCGTGCACAAAAGTCCGACTTGCTTACCGTTCCCCAGAAGCGTGCGTTCTATAAGCAGCGTCATCACTGGGCCAGTAAGAAGTTTGACAAGATCTCTAGCCAGACCCGTGAGTTCGAAAGATCCTGGACCTTCAGAGCGAAAGGGACGCCCTTTGCTCCCGTCAGGAGCGGGTCGCCCAGGATATGGCTATGTGGCAGTCTAAGTTGCAGGATCTCCCGTCGAGCGAGCCAGTCCCTGAGGGCTTCGCGCCCCCAGATCTATCAGCCGTGGCGGACGTCTTCGCAGCTTCCCAGGCAGTGCAGAGAGACGAGAAGCTTGCTCAGGCGTTGCGGGACCTCCAGGGTATCGTTATGTCTGGCTATGCTCCTGTTGGTGTTGCCAGTGAACCTCGGTCCCAGTCTGAGGAGCCCAGGATGTCTGTCGACCAGCAAGGTTCCCCAACACGTGTTGCCAGGGCTCCTCCCCGTTCCTCTTCCTCACTGCCGCCTGCGCCGAAACGTCCTGCTCATGCCCCTGATGCTGCAGTTGATCAGTTGGGACAGTCAGGAAGGTTTTCGCCGTCGGCTGCCGCCGCCTCTGGCCCCGCCGACACCCCAGCAGTGGTGGGGGGCTCCAATCCCAAGGGCCCGTCTGGCCTTTAACGCATCTGAGACCCCGCCCGACAAGTCAGCCTTCGGACAGAAGCCGCGTCGGGACTGGGTCATCGTTACTGTGAATGTTACCTCCTGGTCCAATGCCGACATTTTCCTGGAGGCTTAGTCTGATCGGTTTGATGTTGTTAGTTTTCAAGAACTCTGTCGTACGGAAGAGGCTATCGAGTTCGCAGTCAACCGTGCTCACAAGCATGGGTTCCATGCGCACCTCCACCCCTCAGTTAGTACTCAGAAAGGCGGCTTGAGTTCAGGAGTGGGCCTTGTCTCGCAGTATGCCGGGTCTTTCTCTGACGTTGTATTGGATCCGATTGTTGTCATGCCCCCATCCAGAGAGATTCATCCTGAAGCTATGGCATGGGGTCGTGGATTCAGGTACCCCTTGGGCCAATGTCTATTTGCATACGGGGGAAGGCGCCGAGGATCGCAATACCCAGCTACTGATGCAGGTGGCAGCAGTCATGAAGACCATATCCACCCCCTTTGTTATATCAGGGGACTGGAACATGTCCCCCAAGGACTTGCAGAATACGGACTTCTTAACGCTCATAGGTGGGGTCACTGTCGCGCCAGATCGCCATACCTATGAGTCCGCGGGTGCCCAGTCGTTGATTGACTACTTTGTGGTTCACCCCTTGCTCTCGGCAGCAGTTAAGTGTGAGGTCTGGGAGACCCCCCTGACCCCCAAGCATCAGCCTGTCGCTCTCGCCCTTCGTGGAAATCTTCACTCTGATTTGGTGTCGGTTTTTCGGCGTCCGCCGCGCATCCCTGTTATTCGGCCAGTGGGGTGTTCAAATTGCCCGCCTTCCTGGGATGTTTTTCCTGATCCGGACGCAGTCAACTCTGTGGAAGATTTGGAGCGTCTTACCTCTTCTTGGCTGAAGACGTCTGCCCAGGAGTTGCTTGCCCTTTTCCAGTTGCCAGATCCGCAGGATTACACCAAGTGGGGTGAGCCTCCCTCGACTATCCAGATTTCGGTTTCCAGACTGTTTCCTGGAGGTGTGCTTTCGTCATACGAAGGAAGGCTCTGGAGGTATCTCTCTAACCGTCTTGGTACTCTTCTATATCTTGCTGACAAGCAGCTGTGGCCCGCATATCGGAGAGCCTGTCAAGCCCTGCGCCGATATCGTCCTTCGCAGCGTGATGGTGGTCCTCCCCCCGATTGGTCGTGGTGGAGGTATTATGCCAACAGGCTTGGTACCCTAGATCTTGGTTCCATAGATTGGCTGCGGGGCGTCTTGGCTGAGTCCGCATCTGCTCTGGAACGTGCAGCATCGGCGCAGAGGTACCAATCCTGGACATCATGGGCCATTCGATCTGTCCAGGAAGGGGGTTCTGCTGCGCACCGATTCGTCAAGGGATCTATGGATTGGGCTTCCTTTGACAAGACCACCCCGAACCCAGATGCCCCAGTCGGTACGCCGCAGCATCATCTTAAGGCGCGAGAAGGAGTTTGGCATGCTATCTGGGAGCCCATGCAGGAGCACCCTGACGATCCTTGCCTGGCCCTGGATTTCCCGCCGTTTCCGCCCGACTGCCTTGCATCCTTGCCTCACCCGTCCCTGGACAAGTACAGGCAGATGTGTCGCAGGTACAAAGCTCGTACGTCGGTGGGATTGGACTCTATGCATCCACGTCACCATGCGCTGCTTTCCGACTCGTCTCTTCTTGCCCTGTTTGGTATCTGGCGCGCTGTCTTGCGATTGGGTAGATTTCCTCCCATTCTCGCTGCGTTCATCATGAATTTGATCCCGAAGGCTGATGGTGGCGAGCGTACGGTTGCCCTGTTCACGACGTGTGTGCGCACGTTCTCTCGGTTCTTCAGGCACACGTATGGTGCTATGTGGGCGCGATTGCATCCTCGTCCGTACGTGTATGGTGTGCGTTGTCATTCCTGCCAAGCATGTGTGTGGCGCATGGGCGTGCTCACGGAGTTAGCATCTGCCAAAGGTTTGTCTGCGTTTGCACTCTTGCTCGACATCCAGAAGGCTTTTGAACAGGTTCGCCATAAACTTTTCATAAGACGTGCTAGTGAGTTTGGGTTGCATCCAGCACTCTTGAGGGTTTTCCTGTCTCTGCATCGTTCCCCACGTGTTGTCACGTTGCGGCGAATTGTTGGGGAGTGGGTCAGAGCTAGCAAGACTATTGTAGCATGTTGCTCTTTTGCCGATCTGTTTATGCGTATTTTATTGATGCCCGAGCTGGATTCGTTTCGTCAGTCGTATCCAAATATGCACCTTGGCCTCGTCGCCGACGACGTCCAGGTCCTGGGGATAGGCTCGGAGAGGGAGTTGCTCAAAATCGGTCCCGATGCGTCGCACCTTTTGATGAGCAAGCTTACTTTCTCGGCATGTTTACCGCTCTCCGAGAAGAAACTCGCGCTCTTGGCTACTGACCCCCAGTTGGCTCAGAGCATTGCAGCTGAAACTCCACGTCTCGCTGGTGCAGTCAAGTTCTCGCGTCGAAACCTCGGGATTGACTACCAGTTACGTCAGGGGCGTCGTTCTCGTACTGTTCTTACTGGTCGATTGAAAAAAGGCCAGGTTTAAGGCCCGACGCCTATTGAAGATAAAGAAGGCTTGTGCAAAGGTTGCAGGTATTGTAAACACTAACTTGCGGCCCACTGTCATGTACGGCATTGACGTCGTCGGTCTATCTACTCGCCAGATTCGTCAGGTCCGTGCTATATACCACGCTGGTCTCGGCACAGGTAAGCGTAGGTCTGTCACGATGGATTTGGCGTTGCATGGTGTTACCGAC